AGGTCGCCTGGCTCGCGGGGGCGCTTCCCAAAGCCGCCCTTGGATCTGGCACGGAAATTAGGGAGAATCAGGGAAATGGAAACGCGGCGCCGACGCGCTTCGTTCCTCTCTTCTAGACCAAGTTTTGGGATCCCTGCAGCTCCTTGGGTTTGGTGTCCCCCTTCCCCTGCAGAACCTTCTTGTAATAAACGCGCTCCCTGGGTGGTGTTTGTGCGCTGAATAATTTCAGGGATGATTCGGAAGGACGCAGATGCCATTTTTCAGCCCGTCTAATTTAATATTAATAATTAGCTTCGTAGCTAATACAATTCTCTCGTGCTTTGTCAAACGCTTGTCTTGATCAGTGAGCTTGCTTTACTTTGTTTGTTTGTGTTTTTTTAAGTAATCTCTTATTTTAGTTATACTTTCACTTAAGTTCTTCTCTCTTGACCCGATCTGGAAAATAGAAAACTGGTGCGTGCGGGGAGGCCTTGTTTTCTGCCAGTTAGCGAAGACCTTTTTCATGAAACTGTTTTATTATTATTAAAGTAATGCTTTTCTTTTTGTTTTCTTTCGACAGTGTTAATGTGCCGAGGGAAGGCAGTGCAGGATTTCAAAGGCCCAGATTGTCGCTTTGTAAATTTTAAGAAGGGAGAAGCTGTGTACGTATATTACAAACTAATAGGAAAATCAACCGAGCTTTGGGCTGGAAGTGTAAGTACTGTAAAGCATTTGTTCTACTTGCTCTTCTTGGCCCTGTCTGTTGCTAATGTTTTTTCCTTCCTTTTGCCTCGTAGGAGAACGCTTAGGCTTTTGAGCAGAGCCACATAACATAATGAATGCTGTTTTGTCTTGAGACAGTGTGAAATGAGATGTGGTTTGATCAAACCTAAGGCATTAAGTGCTGTGAAAAACGGGCAACTCTAATGGATGCTAAAAACTGCTAGAAAACTGCTTTTGTGTTGAAAACCTCCCGTTGCAGCGGCCCGTGAGCCTGCCTGGAAGCTGAGCCCCTAGGGAGGCTTAAGTCTGTGTTTGTGTTTACCCCTGACAGGGTGTCATCCTGCTCTCTGTGTAATCCTGCTAAAAATTGTTCCATGTACATGTTTTAATCACATTTCTCTTCCTAATATTCAGCTGCTGTCTTCCCCTTTTAATCAGAGGGAAAAAAAGCAGTAAACCTAGAAAGAATTCAGGTTAATTCAATTTTTTAAATATCTGTCTCAGCGTTAGTAACACTTTGTAGCAACTTGCAGAGTAGTGGCCTTGTCCGAGTCCTTGTCTTCTCTGGGCGATCAAGAGAGGGTTAGTGGGAAAGGACGGTCCCCACACGTGCGGTTATTTCATAGAAAACTCCTCTTGGCTTTCACAATAAACACCTTATTTGTCTGACTGGAACAGAGCTGAGATACCCTGAGGAAATGCAATTTTTGTGGACTTGCCTTGAAAACACTGGCAGTCCAGAGGTTGCTTAGGCCTCGTCCCTGTTGCCCCCTCCCCATGCTTCCCCTACATACCATTTTGCATCCAAATCATTTACTTTAACCTCCTTTCTTACTCTGGTCTTCCACAAGGGATAGAAAATTGCCTGTGACAGGGTCTGGGCTGCTTGAAGCCACCCCTGGGTGTTGACTGTGGGACTAGTGGTTCAGTGAAAAGCAGGATGTATCACTTTCTCTAACCTGTTCAGGCTGGGTGTGGACAGCCAAGCTCTCAGCAGGAGCTGAATCCAATTAGAATGATACAGAAGAGAGCAGAAAACTGCAGCACGTGGTTAAAGAAGAGTTTATAATTGTATCAGGCTGGTAATTCCCTTCTGACATGTACTGTACCATAAATAATCTGGTTAATTAGCTGGTACAGGTTTCCAGGGCTGCCAGTTCTTGAGACGCGGAGTAGCAGTGTGGGGCCAATTTTGCATCTTCTAACGAGGTGTAATGCAGGCTGCAAGATCAGACAGCAGGTTTAAGGTAATTGCTGAGTTAATACTCAGTTTAATTATTCACCGATAGGAAGCTCATGCAACAGTTAGGTGTGTCTCCAAGTTAAAAGGATGTTTGCTTTAACAAGTAAAAGCTGAAGCTGGCAGATCTAAAAGAATTGCAAAGCTCCATTTTATTTGTTGTAATTTTTTAATTGTGTTACACAATTTTCTATGTTCTTCTTAGGGCAGCGATGACAGCATCGTTCCTTTCAGTTGGTGGCTATAACCTTTATTTCTTTTTTTCCCCGATTTGATTGACTGCTGCTGCAATTAACTGTAATACTGCAACAACCAGCGTGCAAATGCTGCAGCGGGGTCGGAGGCACCTACCCTTGCATGTTGAGGAGGGCACTGGCATGTCTGACCCTGACTTGCAGATAGCGCTGGGGTCTCCCTCGTGCAACATGACTTCCCATGCCAGGTTTGGCTGGGCTGGTTGATTTATGCAGAGCAGCCGTGCCTGCTGCGTGCAGTCGCGGAGCTAGGGGGAGGCTGCTGCTTCCTAATTAAAACCAGGCTACCTAGGGAGGTCTGCGATCAAACGAATTCCACTGGAAGGCACGCTACCTTCTGCCACAGCCCTTTTGGCATCTCGTGGTCTGACTTTGTGTGCTCGTGTGCATCATTTGATCCCACGCATCTACCCTACTGCCTTTTTCCGTTCCCCAAAGTTTTAGGGGAAAGTATTTACTGGGGCATAACAGAAACTAGGAAATCGAGGGATAACTAGTATTCTGATCTTCAGATGGCGGCAGAGGTTAGGGGTATATGAGAAGCTTCAACGACTGCAGCCCAGGGCTTACTTCAAACAAGTTGTAAAAACAGACTCTAGTTCTGAAATTGATTGTGAGAAGCCGTGAGAAGTGCAATAGTATTTCTGACCCAAAGGGAGATGATCTGATAATAAAAGGAGCCTTTCACCAAGGTTGAAAAATCTGTAGCAGTAGGGTCTGGGCTTTGTTTGCCTTTGCTTTTCTAATTCACTCTGCCCTTTTCAAGCCATTGTTGATGTTCTTTTGCCCTGTGCCAGCAAACATGCTGTATTTTAACAAAACTGATCCTTTATCTTACGATTCCAGCCTCGTATACCTCATTGCTTGCAGAACTCCCCCCATTGAGCTCAGTGAGTATTTTGCACGTGAGAACATTTTGGGACCCAGCTATAAAGTATACTCTGTACATTATACGGCATGCGGGTTGTAGCAGAGCTGTCTAAACCTCAGTAATGAAGCAAAGTCAAATGCTTGGACAATATTCTATGACCATTATTTAATAGTGATTTTATGTTATGGATTTCATGAATATGTCAGTTCCAGGAAAATACTTGATTTTTTCCCAAAGCTGAAAGGTGGAGCACACCTGGTACTCCCATTGCTCAGTGCGCTGTGTCCTGCTCTGAAACCAGTCTCCTCTTCAGCATCTGCCTCACGTCGTTTACACCATCAAGTTGTTATGCAGACTTTCCTCCTAAGCATTTCTCCTGCACTCTGCCCTCATCTTTAGCAGGGTCTAGAACTCCAAAACTACTTCAGATAATTCCAAGAAAACCCTGCTTTTTAGCAAAACATTTCAGCAAAGACACTTTAAATCCTTGCTGCAGAAGATTGTTATTCTGTCCCATGGCAAATGGCTGAACTTTATTCCTTTGATTCAAGGTTGAGAAAACTATTTCTGGCCTCCCATTGCAAGAAATGGACTTAGCTGCAGAATGTGTCTTTTTCGGGTGGTTGTTTTGGGGATTTTTTGTTTTGTTTTCAAATCTTATACATAGGGTAATAAAAAGGAAGAGAGGAGGGGTAAATATAAGGTAAGATGGGAAGACTAGAGTATGTCTGCAGGATCCTGAGGATGAGGGAATTTTTTCCTGTTGTTTCTGTGTTTTCTTAATGCCAGTGTTCAGCAAGGGTGGACCAAATCAACTCTTTTTGACCAGTGTTCTGCAGTTTTAGGTGCTGTGATACCTGTGCTTTAGGGATGTGGGCTTTAAGATTAAAACCATTTGAACATCTTCTTTCACAGCTGTCTGTTTGCTGTTACTGAGGTAGGTGCTGTGAGGGTCTGGCTTATTGGTCAGTGGTGGTCAGTGAATCTTCCGTAGCTGGCTGTCACACGTGGGCACTGGTGGGGAGAGATGCTGCACACGCAGCTACGTGTTTCATCCACCCACGCCATTTTAGCTGGGAAGGGAGTGGAAATGAAGGATGCACTTTTTTCTCCCTTATTTACTTGGCACTCATAATGCCTTTCCTCTACCATGTCTATAGAGAATGAAGAATGTTTCCTTTATTTGCACAATGAGGCATTTTTCCCCGTACAATAGAGGGCTTGTAGGGAGAGGAGCAGATGAAATTTTGGGCATGCAGATCCCATATGGCACATAAACCACGTAAGTGGCAAACTGGGTCACTGCAGAGGACTTGTATGGTCAGCAGCTTGGATTACACTAAATGAGTTTCAAATTGTGATGCCTAATTATAATGGTAGACACAGAGATGAGTCTGTAAGGAGGCTACTTTGAAGCTTTGGCTTTTGTTTTCAGAAAGATAATTTAAAAATGGAATAGAAGTTTGTAGAGAGAAACAGCCCAATTTAGAATAAAACTGTAGTATACCGCACAAGGACAAGCTTTTGAATTGACTTGTCTAGTTTAATTTCCCATTTGCAGTAATTCCCAATCATAAACCTGCACATGTTATCTCTTTTCCACAAGAGTATCTCTATGTGCTTACAAAAGGCGGGGAGGCAGTAGATTTATTTTTTTATGTATGTGTGACTAGTTTCAGAGATACCAAATACAGAAGGTAAGATTTGAATGAGAAATAGTTAAAGGAAGCCCTATAATGTATCAGTGTTTACTTTGCTGGCATAACAAAACAAACAAACAAAAAAAAAGTACGAGTACATATTATTTACTGGATACAATTTTGCCTTTTTTTAATGCCATTGTAAATACAGAAAATTTCAGCCCAGGTTAACCTATTTCAGTGACAGTGTAACAATACATGTATCTCTATATCCCAGTTGTTCTGACAAAACTGGTTTCCTTTTTAATTTGAACTTTAACTGAGTGATCTTCCCAAACAAACTCTTCAAGAAAATTGGCAATTGTCATCTTCCCTCTATAACAAAACATTGAGGAAATGAACAACGCTTTTCTTTTCCCCCAGATATTTTGGTTGTCTAGGAACTCTGTACCTTTCTAGGTGTGTCCACCAGGCTCCAAGTGTCTGGATTATCTAATCTGCATAGTGATAGCATGCTATTAATATTGGCTTCTTGACAGCTGTTGTCAGAACTCTCAAGTGAGAGCCTTATTGTGTAGATCTTATCTGGTGAGTGATAAGAGATTCTTGTCTTCCACTGTTTGCCTTGGCTTAGCACCTTGACTTGCTTGAAAATAGCCACCTGCAAGTGATTTTTGCTTGTGTTTGTCACTGAAGAGCGACAATGCAGAGCGAATGTCTTTTCCACAGATTTTAAAATAATTACCTCGGATATAATTCTGCATTTTCCTAAAATTAAGTTGTTTTGTTTTTTTTCCTTAAGCTACAAAGTGAGTGTATTTCAGGCTATAATATTGTGCGTGGATAAGATGTAGTCAAAGATCCTCTTTTGCTTACTACTCTAGAAAATACCTAAGGCATATGTGGTGCCAGCGAGGGCGCACGATAGCAGTTGAATCACATGAGCCAGAATGCCTGGGCTTCACTCCCAGCTCTCCTAATAATTTGTTAGAAGTCAGGCTTTAAAACACGAGCAGTAAAACTTAGCAACTTCACAAGGGTGGTGTGAAATAAAACCTCAATGAAAACTCTCGCACAAAGAAGGTATTGCTAATCGTTTTCTTTTATTTGCGGTGTTAAACTTCATTTAGAAATACTTGAGAGTGAGTTTTGATGTGTTTGTTACTAGTGTCTGTAATTAGGATTTTAACATAGTCCCATGACTTCAAAAGCTTCCTTAATGCTTTTTGTTTGCCTGTGTTTGTTTTCTGGCAGGTTGGAAGTGATTTTGGATATTTTCCAAAGGATTTACTTGAAATAAATCATAATTATTCCAATGAGGAGCTAGAATTACCAACAGATGTAAGTCTTATTTGTTATTTTTTAATTGGGCTTCTTACTATTGCTTACCTCGGCATACAATAAAATCTCTGAGGAGGAGAATGGGAGTGTCAGTGATGCTTAGTTACCGTTTGTTAGTAAGCAGCTGCATTTGTGCAGAGACGCCTGTGTGTCAGGGGGTGGAACTTTTGTGCAGCTGTGTACATGGATGGGTGTGTAGGCATCAGCCCAACATCTGGGCATAGATATTTGTTTTCTTGAATATTCTGGTTGTCTTCTAACAAAATCTGTTTGGATTGAGCCCTAGAAATGCTGCTGGCTGGCTTGCACGTAGGCTGCTTGGAATGTATTCAGAATTGTTTCTTTTCCCAAACTTTTGAAGTACTATCAGAAACAAACAAAACCTGGTAGGCTTAGCCCTTTGATTCGAGATTTGGTCCTTCAACCCTTACAGACGTAAGCAGCTTTCACGCACTAATAGCGAGTTGCTCCAGGGTTGGGGGAAGAAGGCCGGTTTGTGGATGCAGCTTCAGACCCTTATGAAATTGTGTTCGGTGGCTTGCACTGCTGTTTAATTTGTTTCTCAGAAATTGTGTGACAGGCAGCTCCTGCTTGGAGGACTTGGTCATTTGAGGACAGACCAACTAAAAGAGATTGTGACAAACAAGCTTAGCAACGTTTGTTTTCTTCTCCTCGCTGGCATTCAGTGATGGACTTGTTCTTAATTCAGGATATATGTGAAGAGTCAAGTATGATACTCTCGACTCCATTGCTGACTTCCAGTAGGAGGCCTGTGACAGAGTTAAGCCATAAGCTTTTTGTTTAGGTTTTTCGGAGTCCATGGGCAAAACTTGCACTGATTTCCAAGACAGTTTTGGTTAAGGACTCCAGGAGTTAATTCTGCACGATTAATATAATTTGCTTTGCTGCTGCATCTCTCTCTAACCAACCAAATGGATTTGGTCTCATTACTGTAATAAAGAAAATAGTGTTTGTGACTACATGCTGTTTTTCATTTCAGGAAACGGACTTTGTTTGCTTTGATGGCGGAAGGGATGATTTTGATAATTATAATGTGGATGAGCTTTTGAAGTCATTGCAAGAGACGATAGCAAATGAAGGGGAAGCTGAATCAAGTGATCCAGGAACAAAACCAGCTGAAGGAACTGAAAGGGCTGAGGAGACTGAACAGGTTCCTACAGTAAAATCCCTTGATGCTTTGGAGACAGGCAATCTTGAGCTAAGCACAGAAGAAGATGAGGAAGCCCTCGCCATCACAGAGGAAGCAGACAGTTCTCTTACAGAAGGAACTGAAAACACTGGGGAAGACTCCAGTGTCAATAGTCACAAAGAAAACACTCAGGGAGATCAAATTGCACATGAGCACTTGAAAGGAATGCTACATGGGAAACTAAAAGGGCTAGAAAGTGAAAATACCAAAAACGCTAGTATTCCTCAGGGTGAAACCAGTCAACTTGACCAAGAGAATGAAGAAGTCAATGCCTATACGCTTTTAAACAGAGAGCTCTCTGTGAACTTGAAAACAAAATTTGGCTCAACTGCTGATGCTGTTGTGTCAGATGATGAAGTGACTCGCCTTGTTACATCGCTGGAAGATGATTTTAATGAAGATTTGAGTGTTGATGCTCATGATGCAGAGGAGGAACCAGACTTTGCAGATCAGTCTGAAGAAATCCCGTTGCTGTCTTTTATGACAGAGGAAGAAATTACATCCCCAGCGGATCTAGAAGATGATGCAAATGATGACTTTGAGTCACAAAATCATGAACCTGATGAAGATGCAAAGGGTGCTACAGAGCTAAATAACCAAAGAGACAGTGAGGAAGAACCCGATTCAGATCCATTTATTCTTAATGATGCCTTCAGTCAGAGCAAGAAGTTGAGTGACAGTGTAAATGTGGATGGGTCCGAATCTAAACAAACAAAAGAGAAGCAGGATGAGGTGATGCTGGTTAGTAAAAGAGAAGCACCAGCAACAGCTCAACCTGAGGGTCTCTCCAAAGAACTCCTTAGAAAGGAACTTGTAGGTACAGGTGATCTGGGTTCAAAAGAAAAAGCAAACCAAACTGAACAGTTTGAAGAGCAGCTCATGGTTGATGGAACTGAGTCTCGTACTGAAGAGCTGAAGAGTACAGCTGTGCCTGATCCTCATGTTTTGCCTAGTCCAGGAGATGATCTGGAGTCCAAATCATTTGTTAAAAGCAAGCAAGATGCTTTAAAACCATCTGTTGGTGATATCAACAAAAGTTCAGAAAGAGTGCCATTTGCTCAAATAGAGAAAGATGAGAAAAAGTTTGAGGATGACACCTTGGAAGAGGAGGTCCTGAAAAGTGACTTAAAGCACAAAAAGTTATGGGAAGAAACAAAGGAGAAAGGAAGAGCTGAGAACAAGCCTTCTGTTGATGTTCCAGCCAAACCAGTGGAAGAGGTAAAAAATGCATCTGAAAGTGACTTAGGAGATACTGACTTCTTGAAAGAGAAACTGGAGCATGGAGTGCCCACTCTGGAGAAAGAACTTCTAAGACATGAAGAAGATTTGGAACAAACAGGGGAGACGGATCCTGAAAATCAAAAAACCACCTCTCTTAACAAAGAACCTGAAATAAAAAGGGGAACCATGAAAGACGCCCCTGCAAGGGAGGAAGACCCAAGCCATAGAGGAGCTGTCAAGCAACCTAGGCCATGGGAAAATAAGACTGACTATTTGGAGGCAGATGTGAAAGAAGAGTTTTCAAGAAATCTTGGTAAGATGACAGTATTTGAAGAAAGCATCAAGAAAAGTTCCCCTGAAGAAAAATCAAAAAGCACTACACAGAATACTGATACAGAGAATCTTACTCAGCAAAGAACTGCTCGTACTGAGGATGCAGATTCAGACAGAGATCTTGGCACAAATTTAGCTAAAGAAAGAACACTGAGACCGGAATTGCAATCTGAAGAGCCAGATGCTGAAGACGACCCCGGCCTGAAACAAGTAGAGGAAGAGCTACTGGAAGACGAGAATGCTGCAAGTGCAAAGCTGTCGCAAGGAAGGGCTGCAAATGTACAGGGTGATACACCAAATACTAAAAGTACAAGCCCTGAATTAGAAGTACTAGGTGAAGCTGTTTCAGGATCCGCAAGCCCTACTTATGAAACGGGAGAGGAAACAAACACATTTCCTAAGGAGGCTGAGAAAAAGTTTGGCATGCAAGGTGCTGGCGAGACTGGGAACAAAGAGGTTGACATACCAGTGACTGGAGATGCTAAATTGGATGAGATGGAACATGTCGTAGAAGATGATGATGAGTTTTTTGAAGCTGAGGAACCATCAGCTGTGGAAGAACATAATTTCCAGTCTCCTGACACAGAAGACAATTACTTTAACCAAAGGAAAGATCATCTCCCAGAGGGCCTTTCACAAAAAGGCTCAAGAGAGGGGCAAAATTTAGAGCATACAAGAAATGACCACCAGCAGTCTGTGCATTTCCCCAGCCCTGCTGACAGCTCAGCAGCCACGAATGACACTGTAACAGACTTCAGTGAGTCTGTGAAGCGGCTCACAATAATGAGAGGTTTTCTTGATGAAAAGCGTCTAATGCGCCTACGGAAGTACCTTGGGCTTCAGCACGTGGTTAGGATAGAAGCTATGTTTCACGACATGAAGGTAGAGATGGAGCTTGCTCGGAAGGCAAGCCATGACAACGAAGATAGAGAAAAAGCTTTGGACCAGATACTTGAGTTTTCAGAATCGAGCATTATGGATGTTGTAGGAAAAATTCTGGATTCCAGAGTGGCAGAAAATAAAGAGGAGGTGGTGAAAGAGATGGATTTGTATGATGAGGAGAGTGCACTGATGGATGATATTCAAGAACTAATATATTCTTTAAGGAGTAAATATTCATCTGCTAGTGAGAGTGTCCCACTTGCATCTGTTCCAGAACAGGAAGACGATCAGCTGCACATTCAAGGTAGGATGCTAAACCAGTTAATAAATAGACGAAACGGAAGTAAAACCCTGTCCCAGACAACACTATGTAACCCAGAGAAGCTTTAAGAAGAGGGCGAGGGAGCAGAATTGAAAGAGGTCCTGTGGAATCTGCTGGGATTTTGCTTAATGCATGTTTTTGGCATGGTGATGGGTGGCCCAGGGACAAATCCTGAGAGAAGATGTGGAGATCAGCATGTCTGTTCTTATGGGCCAGGTTCTGCGTAAGGTAAGTGGGATCCGTGCGTGGATATGGCTAGAAGGAGCCATTCGCGTCACGCTTATACCTCCTCCTCTCAAGAAATAGGGATTCACATATACTCATGTGCTGAATTTTCTGGAGGGTTTAGAGTGGTCTTTTTTTTTTTTTTTTTCTCTGAACTAGCTAACACCTAATTATGGGAGACACAGTGATTAATGCAAAGTTCAGGCACTAAATCCATGCACCTAAAATCTCAGGTATCCCTATCATCATGTTTTTGCCCTCATTCATAAAAGAGTGTGTAAGTAGAAATACTGAACAAGTAGATCTTTTTGATAGGGGAAGAACCACCAGAAGAGTCTGCTACAAACTTGCTGGTTTTTCTAAGTAATGTGCAAGGTGGTAAGATACTGTCTCAGCAAGGCTCTTCTATGGTAGTACATGTTAAGTGTGTGATTTCTGGTAAAGTCACGAAGGATGAAAATGTTTCACCTCGTGATGTTTCATTGCAAGGTCAGTGGTTGATCCCTTGCATAAATTCCATGTCAACATTTAATTGGATGTTACTGTAAGTTGATTGAGAATATATTGGAAGCAATACACAAGCCGAAGTGTTTAAAAAGTGTCAAGAAATGCAGTATTTCACTGGGGACAGCTGTGGGTAAGAAATTAACATTATCTCAGTGCTTAATTCATGTCTCCCTGTCTGTCACAGATGGTGCAAAAGAGGCTGAATATGACAGATTTTCCGTCAGAAACCCAAATGCCATTGATGAGAGCAATCAGGAATTTCAGCAACTCGAAGATAAGAGGCCGGAACAGCCTGTTGAGAAGGAGAGGGCTGTCAACATTCCACCTGGGCATGAAGAAGCCAACTTCTCAGATAATAGGGAAGCCGAAGAATGGTACGATAGTGAAAGAGGATCGCTACTGGAAGAGACTTCCTTTGGGTCAGTTGATTCAGGACAGAGTGCCAGGGAAGATACTGCTGCAGGTAACCTTTTGGAATTGGGTTATTTTGTTCTTTTGCTCTTAAAGAGGAGCATGGTTGAATGGTTTCTAGGCAAATGCCAGGATTTTTCACTAATATTTTCACTGTATGTTGCTGTAATCCTAATGGCTTTCACTAATCCGGGACAGTCCCTCTAGTGCCAGTGTTGTCTCGCTAGCACCCAGCTCAGCAGAGCGGGTTTTTTACTGCCTTTTTGCATTATAGGAATGAGAAGAGTTCTGCTAAGTGTCAGTCAGAGCTCTGTGCTTGGGCTGGCAAACTGTCTCAGGATGGTAGTGGATAAAGAGCAGAAATCACTGGAAGCCCACCATCAGCCCAGGTTTCTAACCATTAGGCTGTAGAATCATGCACTCTCTCTCCTCGCTCTTAACCCGTGACTCTGGGCTGTATTATTTTCCAGGAAAGATGGAATGTAGCTTCCCTCAGGCAGTTCAATAATTTCTGGCTAAGGTGTTTGTTGGGGTAGAAATGTTTGACTCTGTTCCGCTGGGCCTTCTCCCTCTGGAGCAAGTGTGCTGACCTATGCTGGCTCGTCATCATGCCAGGGAAGCATCCTATGACCATCATCTTCCCCAGCTCTGTTTTTGGCATGAAACTACCTTCGAGTCTGTTCTCGGTGCTAAGCTCAGCTTTGCTGTTCTGCATTCACTTCTGATTATGCTTAATAAATCCGTCTGCACTGACCATTTAGAAAAAAATTCAGACACATCTTGCTTAGCTTTTGTACGCTACTGAGGTACCATGCCATCCCCATGGAGAAGCACTTTTGAGCAGCTTCTAAGCTCTGAGGGAAACTCTAGGTTGAATGCAAGGATACCTAATAAGTTTTAAATGGCTGGTGGATTACTTGTGTGGTTAAGCAGTCGGATGTTCAGTTGTACTTTAGACCATCTTCCATTCCTTCCTTCATGGTAGTTAAATGCTGTTTGCCAGGAATTTCTATGGGAACTGCTAGAAGTGCTGAGAAGAAACAGGGCAGATGCTTGTAGAACCGCTGGTCACAGCTGTTCCACAACAGGCTGGGCAGTGGTTATTTGATCTGTTAACCTGAATTCATGACAACAGGAGGAGGGAGAGAAGGCAGGCTTCAGATCAGGGTAGAAGTAAAGATGGTTTAAAGCTTATGCCGTACTAACAGTGCTGTACAGTTATGAGAAGGTGTAGGTTTATTGATTAGGAGTGGAAGAGTGTGTTCTTTTTTTGATGCTGCTGACTTGCTGAAGGGGCTGTGTGCGCTTGGCCCGAGGCAGGCTCCGCGAAGTGACTTTCTGTACCTCTGCCCCTCTCTGCGGTACATTTCTAAAGCAGCCTGTGCAATATCGCTCTCCTTTCTAAGGACTTCTTGCCTCTTTCCTCGGTGCCCTGGAGAACCGGGGGCCGTAATCTGAAATCTTGCCCAAGGCGGCGAGGAAACCGCGGGGGTGGGGGCAAAAGCGGGTTCCGCGTTGCCGCCCTCCCCTGTCAGCAGGCCCTGCTGGCGACGGCGGCCGCTCCGTGAGGTAACGCCTCTCTCCCTCTCCCTGCAGAG